GTGCTAGACCGGAAGTGTCGCACAAAAAAACGGAAGCTGGCTGCGTTGTGTTTTGCCTCCGTGTTTCCGTGAAAAATAAGGTGAATTAAGCCATGTTTAATGTGTGTTTTGAAGCAATTAAACTTTACAGCACTTCACAGAAACCCCCGCTGCCAACTAGTGTTTTGGAGGTGTAACTGCAGAGTGACACAGACACACCACCGCACATGTATAAATGCTCACAAAGGCGTAATGTGCGTAGGCTAGAGTCTGCCACACGAGTATAAATCCCGCTTAAGGCTGTTAACTTGAGTTTGGATCCTCCTGATCTTCCCCGAAGAAAGAAAGAATTCAAATCTATATGTGCATACTTAAAGAAAAAATCTTGATGGGACTTTATTGGTGGAAAACAAAAACACCTGGGGGCTTGGATAAAGACTATGGCTCAATATGTGTTGATGATAAATTACATATACTGGGTAAACTGAATTTGTATAAGATTTGGGGACCTTTTATATATTTATATATATTATATTTATTTGTGGAGCATGGTGACTTTGGGAATGTACTGGTACAAGGAGACCACTTGGATGATTTATGATAGACTGTAAAGTTTGTCAGACCTTTTGGATTTATTGCAGGACTTTTTGTTTAGTTAATTGTTTTGTTTTTTTATTTGAAAGTATATGTATATTTAATTACAGATTTTTTTCCTTTTGCATTTTGCTAATGTATTTGTTACAGCGAAGAGGTCGGGGAGGGGAAAGACTGGAGGGTTTAAGGGAAGGTTACATGCTACTTTTGATGCAGTGCACTTCTTGTATGCATTTAATGTGAAAACAAACATACTGTTTTAAAAAAGAAAAGGAATAGACATCTCAGTATCTAAGTCAATGTTTTAATAATATATGCTAAATATGTGTATGTGAATGGCACTGTATATGGCCTCAGCATTATTATCTTCATCGGTCATGTCTCCATCAGGAAAAAAACCCTCATACTGTATGAACAGACAGCTGCCTTACGCATTCGTTGCTTCTCATTTATTATCATCAGCAAGGAATTTTGAAAGACAGTCAAATCCTGCAGCCTGCTCCTGGTAAACAAATTAATCACCTAACCCAAATGCTCAGTGTCTATTTCAGCTGAAACAGAGAAGAGTGGCTGTGTTCAGAAAGCGGATAAAAGACAAAGTACTGGCTAGGAGGCACCACAGTAGGTTTCTGGCACAGCATATGGTGGCCTGTAACTGACACAAATACCACAAATCACATTTTCACAGTAAGTGCAGCGAGCTTGCCAAGTAGAGCGGCGATCTAACAGAAATGTCTGGTAAATATCTAACATTTGCCATACATTTTAACAGAACAATAATGAAGCGTCTCTGGACTTTTTAGTCTTTTTGCCTGCTATTTTTCAATGAACAAACCTCCTGCACTGGCTGATAAAACATGCTCATGTTGTCCTACAGTAGGCTATGTAGTAGCTTATATCTTTAAAGCTGCACTATCAATATTCTTATATTAAAGACAGATCAACTAACCAACTATAAGGTTGCTTATAATGATGAACCCACAGAGAATTATAGACGAATTCGGCAAGCGATTTGTGTATGCCGCCATCTTGCGGCGGCGCCATTGCTGCAGTGACATGTCTCAGTCATCAGTTCATAATGCTGTCAGTGTGAACGTACTCTCTGGCCTCCGGTAACTGATGAAGGTATCTTAAATGAGTACCAATATTAATATAGAAATTAATCATTTGTTTGAGCGATAAGCAGGAAAGATTAGAGTAATAGGGAGATAATAGACTCTATCATTAAACACTGTGTAATATAACGTTAGCATACGTTACGTGTGCTGACGTTAGCAAGCTAGCAGCGTGACATTTAATCATTATGGACAGGCTACGTGACCATCACATCATATTGAAGGCGATCAATATTGATCGCCTTCACTATGATGTGATGGTCGTCTAAAAGGCGGTGTAAAATTTGCCCGACGCATCTGGAGCTCAGGTAATTTTGACCCTCAATCAGAGACCTGTAATTGCCGTTTTTTGGTCATCGGAGGCCAGGCGATCAATGAAATATTCTTGAATACCTAAAACAAAACACAAACACGTGTTGTTGTTGTTTTTAGTCACGTAGCCTGTCCATAATGATTCAGTGTCACGCTGCTAGCTTGCTAACATCAGCACACGTAACGTATGCTAACGTTACATTACACAGTGTTTAATGATACAGTCTATTATCTCCCTGTTAAGTTACTCTAATCTTTCCTGCTTATCGCTCAAACAAATGATTAATTTCTATATTAATGTCGGTACTCATTTAAGATACCTTCATCAGTTACCAGAGACCACTGTCTAACATCATCAGTCCAGCTATTCATGATGCTGTCATTGTAGAGAGTCAGTTCACAGCAGCATAATGAATTGATGACTGACACATGTCACCGCAGCAACGGCGCCGCCGCAAGATGGCGGCATACACAAATCGCTCGCTGAATTCGTCTATAATTCAATTAACTTTGCAGTTTCCCTCAGCTCTAAACACCATAGCCTGTGTGCACAAGTGGCCCAACTGTTATCAGCAATTATACTTGTTTGATGGTGTGTCTGCGTCGCTTCAAAACACTAGTTGGCGCTGGGGTTTCTATGCTAGCCTACTGAGTTTAAGTATAATTTAATTTGGCTCCATTATAACTCACAAGATTCACAGACAAAACTGTCCTTTCATAGACACTTTTTACTTACAAGTACAACATGCTAATTCTATTAGCATAAGCCTATGACATTTTACATTGTATAAATTAGCCTAGTGACTTGTTAAATTTTCCACTACATGAAGCTGGAAACAACAGCAACATTTAACGAAGGAAATGCTAAAAAATTAGGTTCATAGACAAAACTGTCATAAACACATTTTCCCCACATATACAACATGCTAGTGTTATCTATCTGCATTAGCCTGTGACATTTTTCATTTGCATGAAGCTAGTGACTAGCTAACTTTTTTTCTCTACTCATATGAAGGGGAAACAAGAACATTTAATAAAGGCAACATTACAGAATTTGGCTCCATTAAATCTCTCAAGGGTTCACCAACAAAACAACAGTCTTATTCTCGGACTGGGTTTCCCCCACAACCTGCTAATGTTTTTAGCATGTGGTAGCAAGTGTTCGACATTTCCTGTTGCATAAATTAGCCTAGCAACTAGCTAACTTTTCCTTCATTCATATGAAGCTGAGATGAATCACACACATGACTTCTAATGCTATATTGTGGGGGCTTTATTGTCCTTACAATTAATTATTTGTTATCTGTGAAATAAAAGTCAATAAAAGCTTTTCAGTGTGCAAATACAAACTGGAAGTGTGCGTCACGACGTGTTGTTACATTTCTGGCAAGGTGCACATCAGGCTACGGCATAGGGTAAGTGCCTACGCAGAGCCTACGCCATAGATATGGTGTTGATTCAACACAGAAGTATAAACCCTGCTTAAAGAAGCATGTTTTCCTGACTAAAACAAAGCTAAAGGGAGAGTAGCCTAAATATTGGCCTTCTATTCAGCACGTGAACACAAGCACAACTTGAATGCAAATATGCAACTGTATGCTAACAGATTCACGATAAGAACTTCATATGATAGAATTGTCAATATTGTCACAATGTTGTGTTTATAGTTTGCTCTGTTTCCTCCGATTGGTTAAGAAAAACAACTAGTGCAGCTTTAAAGCTGAACTGATAAATATTTTCAAATATCTTTTACCAAAACATCTTCATAAGGTGAAAATATTCATCAGTGTTTGTGTTTTCAGCTAGCTTCCCTGTCCCCTACTGTCAAAGAAAATCACTTCACTAATACACCTTTAATCATTTAAGACAGGCTTTGGTTGGGTCAGATTTGTTTTGGCTGCACCATTATAGCCTACACTGACATTATGAAGTAATCTGAGCATTTCTGTAAACAGTTGTGACCACAGTGATATTTTAATGATTCAAGTTCCCTCCTGATGGCACAGTTTGTGATTAGACAGTGGCTAAATCAAGCACTTACCATGTTTCATGGTGTGTAATAGGCTTTGTTTTATAAAGAAAATCCACTATCGTGGCAACTACTAGTGTAACTATGGTGTGTTATGGTCTGTACCATAGCTCCCTCCAATGGTTGCTCACTGATGGTGAAAACAAATAAGTTAGGTAGAGCTTACAGAAAGCATGTATGACCACCTCTGTTTGCACAGGAAGCAGCTGCACAGTCATCACACTTGGCTGCACTGCAAATACATGGTTGTGTCTGTGTGGGTCTTTGACCACGTCTGCATGTCCACACACCTTCACATCTGTGGGTTTTACATTATATGCAAATGTAAATGAACTGAAGGGAGACAGTGACCTTTAGACCATACTTTTGTAAACTGTTTGACAGTTTTGTGGCAGTATTTAGATTTGTCTTCAGTTTTTGGCATTTTTACGCCTGCAAAGTATTTGGTCTTTACTACTAACACTTAATCTCATCGGGGGAGAAAAATCTCTGAAAATGTATGGACAGTAAGACTTTGCACTGGAAGAATGAAAGAATGAAGCTTGCTGGAAACATGAAGTTGTAGCAACATTCCACAGTGTGAACGGGGGAGCATCTGGAAATCTTTAAAGGAGAGGGGAGGGGACAAGGAAGGAGAGGAGGAGGCTAACAGAGAATCTGCTGAATATTTAGGCCACATATACAGAATTTGAGCAGGGTTGTTTTAAGATTTAAAGGTGTGTGTAATCCTGTTTGAATTAGCAGAAATGAGCAAAGATGAGAAAAACCGATCAAAAAAGTTGTTCAGTGAAAGAGTAATAATGCCAGACTGTCAACAGTAGAAGCAGAGAGCATAACTGCATGAGAGAGGAGTTGTAAGAATGTTAGTCATAGACAAAAAAAGACAGAGAGAGCAGGGGAAGTCTGACCAAAGTGCTCGGCCTCTTCCTGCCTGATGATCAGCTCAGGAAGTCGAAGCAGAAACAGAGGGCAGGGCTGACAGAGAAACATATTTTCCCCTTGCCTTTTAGTTTTCCTTATTCAGTCCTGCTCTGATCCACAGGAGGAAGAAGAAAGGGGGGCAGAGAAGAGGCGGGGTTTTTCGATGGAGCTGAGAGAGAGACAGAGTGACAGAGAGCAGTCGAACACTCAATCTGTGGAAACATGATGGAAGCCAGCGTTGTTTCCAAGGACGCAGGGTGAGTGTGTGAGGGGTTAGGTGATAATGTAGCTGGGTGAAAATGCAGTGCAGGAACTGTACTCTGTCGCGACAAGGGGGGGGGGGGGGGGGGGGGGGGGGGGGGGGGGGGGGGGGGGGGGGGGGGGGGGGGGGGGGGGGGGGGGGGGGGGGTTGTAACTGTCGTTGAGGGGAGAGGGAGTTGGGGGTCGAAAGTTAGACGACCAGAGCAGGAAAAACAGATGTGATGACTCACCGACTAATATTTAGGTCAGTAGCTTCTGAGAGTTTTTGAAATTCCAGATCCTGTTTTCATGGTGTCTTATTAAATCAGATTTCTAACACATGAGTTGCACCAAGAGAGCGGTAACCATTTAGTCAGAGAAATGCTGACATTTGGAGTTTGTTTCATACCACTTGTATCAGTGGTTGAAAGTTGCCACTGACCACTTGAAAAAGGCAGATCAGACCGTTATTAGGCATGTGGGAATAAGTAAGCAGGTTTCAGTTTAAATGTACACAGTCAAGAGTTTGAATGTCCCTCTTTACAGCATAAGTACCTTAGCTTTAAACTTCAGGCTGTGTTTTGGTGTTGATGTGATTTAGGATCTTTTTACCAGAGTCATACTTGTTGGACTTTGTGTCAGTTAACATGTTGAGGCTGGTTGAGGGTGCTGCATTTGTTAAGTCTTACAATGTTTTCTCACTTAAGACTAAAGTTATAAAAGAAATAATAATAGATTATGATGACTTCTTATTTTGTAATAGAGCTAGTGCCAGGATTGTGTTGCTTTTTTCACCTACTTTCAAAACTATGTGATTATCCTTAAGGTCATGTTAGGTCAAGGGTGGATGAGATATTCAGACGCCTACTTAAAGGCATACATTACCCCAAAATAACCATTTGTATACCAGTTACTCACCCCATGTTACCTTGAATTCATAAAGACAACTTTGTTTTTATCGCATGCCTCCATGGTGAACAAAGAATCCAAAAATGGAGAAAATTCTTGATGATCTGAAGTAAACAGGGGCCACGTTTAACAACAGCTAAACTATATCAAACCATTTGTTTACACACAACTTGTGCAGTATAATCCGAGTCTCTATCCAGATATACTCCCAAATCACATGCATTTTCACTTTAATATTATTTTTCACAGTCTGCTTATGAAATGAACAAGTTAAAACGCACACACTTGCCCATGCATGTTGCTCACAGGCCGAAGTGTTTAAATAGTGAGGCTTTTGTGAAAGTACATGTGTTTGGGAAGTACTGAGCATCCAACTGGATAAATGAGACTTGAATTCTACTGCAAGAGTTTGTAAATGGACGTTTTCATACAGTTTTGCTATTGTTAAACATGGACCCCATTTACTTCAATTCATGAAAAATTTTCCATTGTTTTTAATTCTTCGTTCAACATGAAGGCATGTGAGATAAACAAAGTTTTCTCAAAGAACTCAAACTAAAACGAGATAAGTTATTAATATACCATTGGTCATTTTGTGGGTGAAGTATTCCTTTAAGTTAAAGTATTAACACTGCAATATAAAAAATACTCCATTACAAGAAAAAGTCGTGCACTGATAATGTCACTTAAGTAAAAGTACTTAAGTATTATCAGTAAAATGTACTCAAATTATTAAAAAGTAATGCAGAAAGATGGCCCCTTTGAGTGTTACACTACTTATGCGTTTCATAGCTGAATTAATGATCCATTGATGTGGAAGTAGCATTTTATTGTTGTTGGTGCTCGAGTTGGAGCTTATTTTTAAAAAAAAGTATATATATTCTGTCAGATAGATTAATCTATAACAATACTTTTTTGTAGTTCAATTCTGAAAGTAAGTAGCAAAGCTGCCAAATAAATTAGGTGGAGTAAGTAAAATATTTGTCCTTGAATTGTACTGGAGTAGAAGTATAACATGGAATGGAAGTACTCAATTAAAATACAACAATATCTAAAATTTTAACTCAAGTTCAGCACTTGATTAAATGAACTTAGTTACTTTCCACCCGTCAATAAAGTCATTGTGTGCTATCAAAAGGACTGCAGAGAAAGTTTACATCACACATTTAAAACAACTGCTCTTTATCCTTACGAAAAATAGGAATCTATTGTTTCTAACATCCCCCTGACTATGATCATATGTTGTGAATATGATCATATGATGTTACCAAATGGTAATAAAGATAAAATCAAATGCAGTTTGTTCCAGAGTGACTGTGCTGAGTATTTTACTGACAACTGCAGAGCTACTTTCCCAGAGATTTCGCTGACCTCATGGTTATTTCACCCTTTTCCTGTGAGTGTGGATGGCATGTGAGCGAGTATGACGTGTGTATGGTACAAACAGGATTTTGGGGGTTTGTTCTGTCGACATGTGATTTCCTCAGTTACTCAGGATTTTTTTGTTTTTCAAATTCAAGGAAGGGTGATCTCACTCTAACTCAGGCTCTATGTGGCTTTAAAAGATAAAAGATATGTCAGTGGTTCAGGTAAGAAAAAGTATAAAGGAGGCAGATATTAACCATGATGCTTACTCATATATCTGTTCTTTAAATGAAAATTTTCAGGGGTTGGTTTCACCGAAATTACAGAAACACATATTTTCTCACTTACCTATTTATTTATCCATGCAGTTAGTTTCAGTTTCATTTGTTTAGAACTGATGAGATTTCTGCCCCCACTCCAACACTCTGCAGATGAAGGAAAGGACCACATGTAAAATTACACTTAAAAAAAAAACTGGAATAACTCTTCTAAGAAACAGTGTCCATGTTACTATGAATTATCTGGAGACCTCAGTTTTGAAATGAACTACTTCTATGGTAGAAAATAGTTCCAATGAAAGCTGTAGACGGTGAAGTGGCTGGATTATCCACAGAAAAGAGACATGGGGTGAAGACAGAAATCTAACAGATGGATACTTCTAGACTGGAGCAATAAACCTCCTGAAAAAGCCCAGTCTGCTCTGACTGGCATATCTGCTCCGTCATTACACCAGGAGAATGACTGTAACTGAGAATAGCGGCACTTACTGCCATGAAAAAGCCATAGATGTATAATAATAACTTGATACTGGAAGCCAAAATGATGCCTATTAATTCCAATGGAGTTGCTCGCCTAGTGCATACGCTTCTGGCATTCCAGCTCAGCTCATAGGCCTCCATGGTTAAAAAAAATTCATAAAAGAAAGAGTCATAATTGACCTTATTTCCAGTTTGAGGTGTCTTGTCAACAGTTTTACAGACACGACTTTTAAAATAGTGGCCTATGGCAAGAATGCTTTTTGGGCCACAGGGGATTTTTTTTGCTGCAATACCATGAGTAGCCACTGGGAAAAAAAATCAAAGCAAGGCTGACCAGCTTTCCTGGGGGCCTGGAAAAATCACCAGTAAAAGTATCTGAACATGACCAGACATGTTCCAGCAGAAATATGATCCGAAATCTGGGAGGAATTAACAACATCAGCAACATTAGCAGGTGGCTACATGTAGCAGTGTACTTGCAGTTGGGGAATGACTGTAACAGAGATAGTTGCACCTTGTGTTGTTTAAAATCACAAATAAAAGCTTCTTAACACAACCTGACATGTTGTAGCAGGAACCTGATCTGAAATCGCAAAGAATCATCTGCGACCAAGATTACATTACCCTAATGTTAGCATGTAGCTATATGTAGCATTGTATGTAATGTAAACACTTGCAGTAACGTGCCGTAGGCAGACGACCATATAAAGAAATCCATTACAAGTTGATGTTAGCTTGTCTCGAAAGCAGAAAATACCCTGGAAACAGAGTACTCAGAAAAGTCTAAAGAGGCCGGAGGTTTTTGTTCACAAGGATTACTTTTACCTGTGTTTACCCTATTATTTAAAACTTCGGCCACATTTAATAATAATAATAATAATAATAATAATAATAATACATTTTATTTATACAGCGCTTTTACAGCTCTCAAAGATGCTTTACATTTAAAACCAAAGAAAAGAAGTATATACATGTAAGTGCAAAGACATAAACAGAAGACAAGGACAATATAAAACAACAAGGTGCAAAAGCATAGTGCAAAACAAAGAAAAGGAGGGCACATGAGGAACCGAGAACGAAAAGCTAATGTTAAAGGTTAAAGGCCGATTTGAAAAGGTGGGTTTTGAGGAGTGATTTGAAGGTGGATGGATTTGGACAATTTAATATACACATACACAAAAAAGATAATAATTCCCCTTTAAATCCACATTTAGTGTATATACTTAACTGTTTCATACAAATGATTTGCTGCTGGGTATCAGGGCCTGAAATGAGTCATGGGATTGACTGCGGTGGTTTCCCACAATAAAGGAGTATTTTTTCTCCTGCCCAAACACAGGGCTTAGTTTAAATTATAAACAGAGATACAGCAGAGGCTCAAAGGGCACAAGCAGCGAATTGCCTCATTCTGCTTATGATCTACTGTGATTATGTTAGCTAGCTGACCTAAACTTACAGAAGTGGAAGTAAACAGTCTGAGCAGCACGGGAAGCCACTGAATAAAATCTAAAATTGGACTGATGGTCACACTGTCTTCTCAATAAAAGCCTGTACTTTGTCTTAACTGCAACCAGCATCTCAACTGACACTGTATTAAACTGAATACCAACAAGCTGTAATGTTGAATGCAGTGCCTGCTGCATCTAACTGGCTCAGAGTTGAAACAAATATAGAATGTGTTCATATCTCTGAGCTATAAAGTATGACCATCAGATTACCATCAGCATGACTGGTGTCTTGCTGTCTGCAGCAAGAGGTAGGATATGCTGAAGCCTGTTTTGTGATAAGCTATTTAACATTTTAAACACCAATATGACATATTATTGTCAAACTACTGTTATTGCAGCATCTTTCTCCTGCTGATAATGTCATTGCTCAAAGTTATGACTACCTTTTCCTGTTCCCACATAACCACTGCTTCCTCTTATTAAGACAATGCTGCACTTGACCCTCGTCTCCATACCTGGTGTTGGGATTGTTTTGAAGAGCAAAAATTAGAACAAAAGACAAAAACAGCCAGTAGCCAAGCTAGGCTAACTAGCATTCTGACCAGTTAAAGGATAATCATATAGATAATCTGTATCTCCTGATATATCTCATTCCTCTGTCCCAGTGAGCCACATTGTTGCACTGGGTGACATGTTCCTTCATTACCACTAACACACACTGTAGTTTATTTTGACTTAGCCGCACACAAACCATCCTGCTGCAACAAAGACTCAGGAACAAACCAAATGTGGATTAATCTGAACAACAAAGGCGCTGTTTCCTCCTGTCTGACTAATGTTAACAGTGCAGCCTGTTTTAGGAAGTTATGTAGCCTTTAAAAAAATGACATTATATAACTATGACTCAATTCTAAAGCTGTATTCATCAATATTTTTTATATTAACAAGGCCTCAATTATGTGTTATTTGTCGCTTGTAGTGACAAAGTCAGAGAATTATCACCAAATGCAGAGTGAGAGCGAGAGAGGGAGTGTGTGAGTAAGGATTGAATTGTAGACGTGATACAAAACTTTCTTTGCTCATGAAGACCATTGTTACCCTACAATTATCTGGGTTATCAGTTTAGCGTAGGATTCTCGACTAACAATGATAAACACAGCAACGGCTGACTCATACGAACGGGTTCAACGTGGAATGGATGTGCAATTTGAGAGCCGCATTATACATCTCATGTATGACATGGCAATATCCTCACTATGCTGCATTTTCCATAAACTATGATAATCTGGTCATGGGTCACATCTGTCGCCTGCATCTAGACGTCTCATTCCCTCTTCCTCTCCTCGCAGTTCTCAGCAAAACATTACCAGCTGAAGACATGCTGGAGACATGATTTTTCAGCTGAGTTGCTGGACATTGTACATTTCTGCAAACCACAGACATGTTACATTTGTTTGTTTAATTCATATCATATCAACATTTCTTAAGTCACACTGTTCTTATTATACGAGGTGGAGGGGACGGTGGATGGCGTGACATCTAGGCTTGACAGCTGCCAGGCTGCAGACCACTGTTCAAGACCAACAAAAAAAAAAAAAAAGTGTTTTTTAGCAACACATTGCCACAGCGGCACAACAACTAGGTAACTTAAACCAAAAAATGATCTTTTCTGAACCATAACTAAGTGGTTCTTGTGCATAAACATAACCACTTAATAACCACAGCATTGCTGAACATTACTAAATGTAAAGTTTCAACACATACGCTACATGGTAACTTACAAATGTTCCATATTACTTTACCAAGTAAAATAGAGATGCACTATTGTTTCACCTCGCACATAAACAAGCGTGCATCCTTACCCCACAAAACACATCACAAAGCTGTATTACATGCGTGCTATTGCGGTAATTTCTTTTATTGCATAGACTGATGTATTTTTCTCAGGGGTTGGTGGAAACCTGTGGAGCCCCTGAAGTCCCAAAATGTGACATTTTTTATTTTGTGTGCACGAGTTACAGTAATTATCTTGTTGGAACAGTTATCTTATCTTGTGTGCATAACAAAAGGCTAACTTGTGCGAACAACAATATAAACTAGAGCACTCGGAGAGCGCAGACCTCTGCCAAGCAGCTCGGATTTCCCACCATTTTATTATTTTATCCACCTCACTTCAACTGATCACCACCAAAATTTTATCATCTGTTCCTTGTCCCATTATCAACCTTTCCTGGTTTGATAATCATCAAAATCCGTTCAGAACTTTTAAACTTATATTGCAGACAGACAAAGAGACAAAGAGACCAACGCTGGCGAAAACATTATCTCCTTGGCGGAGGTAAAAATACAACAATTTAGAACATTAAGGGCTCCATAGAAACCAAAACAGAGCCAAAAAAAGAGTGAATATTGGCCTTATATTCATTAAATGGGCAGAAACACACTTGTCCTGACAACTTTTCATGGTGATAGCATGTCAGTGTTTTGTTTTATGCTTGTTCTGCTGCTCTCAAATGGCCCACAAAAAAAAAAAACATGATATACATCTTACGTCTTGAGTAGTAACCGACAGGCTCAGGGCGGAGTGCCACAGCCAGGGTGGGAACACTGTGAAGTATTGAGACATGGGCTTGGGTTTTGGGTTTGGTCTTTTCGTGGAAATAGAAAACAACAAAAATACACATTAAATAACACCAACTTTACCCGCTAAGCTTATATCAATCTGAGACTGTGCACTGCACCAACAGACCATCTCTTCGGTTATGTTCTGGGCTAACAACACCAAAACACTTCAGCAGATTCTCTTAGGGACATGGATGGTTCCCGATCCTCTCAACAATAGTTTCAATTTTTCACAGTAATAAACGGCATCACGTGTCACAGAAGTGCATGTCAGTGTTTCTGCGGTCACTGAGAGTGACTCAAGTCCTGGTGACCAGATGCTTGTGTCTGGAGGCAAACTGAAGCAGAGACAAGATACAAACAAATCCCCAGCATGTTATTTCTGTTTCTGACCTTTTGCCTTTTTTCCTTTACAGACACGCAAGCCCTCTGAAAGGATCACTAGACACTCCATCTATCCCCTCTTCTGCCTCCATCCCTCCATGTGCTCCCCTCTCTCCACCTTCCCTGCCCTCCTCTAACCCTCCAGTCCGGCCATGTCGACCCAAACCACCACCTCCTGCAGTGAAGTCCTCCCAGCTCCCCTCTTGTCCTCCTCTACTTCCATCCACTCCTCCAACCCTCCCTCCCACTCTCCCTCCTGTCACCAAACCTCCTCCCCCTCACCCTCCTATCTCCAAACCCCCTCCCTCCCTCTCCTCCAATCCTCCTCCCCCCTCTGTTCCTCCCCCTCTTTCCTCCAACCCTCCTCCCCCATCTCTTCCTCCTCCTCTCTCCCCTACTCCAGTGTCTCCACCTCCCTTGCTTTCTCTCCAGCCAACGGTCTCCTCTGATCTTACTCCCTCTTTTACTCCTCCTCCTCTTCCTGCTCCATTATCACCAACAATCTCTTCCTTATCATCATCTCCTCCTCCACCTCCCCCTGTTATCCCACCGTCCTCTCCAACTCCTCAATTGCTGAGTCCTATAGATCGGCTGGTTGGGAGCGTCTCAGTATGGCAGCCCAAAGAACTCAGCCAAGACCAGACTACTAGTATAATGGAGAAAGAGACGGCTGGGGTGAGAGACACACACACACACACACACACACACACACACATTTACACACTGATTTTGCCTTAGATCTTTGAGTTGGAGTTTGAAATTGATACCTCTCTAAAAAAAACTGAGTTTGGATGTCTTATGACATTTAACTGGAAAGTTTTAGATTGTTGTACAGCAAGGTCAGTAATAGCAACAGTAGTGGTCACTTAATGTACTATGTTGCTCTATGTTTTCTTTGATTATTTTTCCATACAACTACACAGCAAAACAGAAATTTCCAACATATTTTACAGCTTCATAATTTCCTAATAATGTCTGCAGAAGTTTGATTATAGGAGAAATGCAGACAAAGCTCTGAAACTTTAGTCAGTTGTGTTAAGCATATAAGCAGTGGTTGATTGATTGACTTAACAGAACACTCTAAAATGCATGAAATGGAAGAAAATAGACTTAAAGTGAAAAAGCATTTTTAAGGTTGCAATAATGTGCATTTATCGCAAAACACCCGAGACATACAACTGAGAAACAAATATTTGCTATGTAAGGATAAAGTGGAAAGATGGTGTCCTAAGCAGAGATTGAAGTCCCGCTCACTGTATGTGTTGTCATCTGAGCTTCTCTGCTTTTTGTTGTGGTAGACGGTCTGGCTGCATGTGCATATCCCACTGGTTAGTCTATCACCACCACTTTGCGCATTGCTTGTACAGTAGTCATCACTGACATTGAGGCAGCAGTGGCGTGGAAGCATAGTGCCCACCCCGCGGTTCCCCCCTGGTTAACACCATTAGCTCTGTCAACACTGTTGTTAGCACTGTTCACTTGTGTTTGTTTTGGCAGCTATTTTAGATTTAGTCTTAGTTTTTAGACAAAATTCATATTAGTCACAGTTTAGTTAGTTTTAGTCGACAAAAACACAAAAGGTTTAAGTTGACAAAAAGTCATGACATTTTTGTCAACTTTTAGTCATTACTTCATCACGTCAAAATGACGTGATTCTGTGAGTCTACTACCTGCCCCTCAAACAGTACTTAAACCATAAACCTTCTATAGAGAGTCCATCAAATCCATTCAACAGCTCCATCCACAGTCAAGCCCTTTTTAAACAGGAATTGTGCAAATTTGCAGGAAAGCCCAATCAGTCTTCTTTCAGCATTGGCAGTATAAAAGCAAAATCAGGGAGTGCAGCAAAATGCCGCCTACCTACTTTTGTTTATACAGAATGCGCCTTTTTCGGGGCAATGGGGGGCGTGAGCAAGTAACAAAATGTGTAGCTCAGCATGTGACGTAAACAGTCTGTCTGTTTTCAAAATAAACTTCCGTTTTCACAGGAAATGTCTCCTTCAAAATAAATGTACTGCGTTGGTACAACACTGCGAATTGGCCTTTTTTTTCTTCAACAAAAAATGCACGTGGTTATGTTTTGCCAACACATGTGCATGGTTGGATTTAGGAAAAAAGAACAGGGTTTGGGTTTACATTCGTACAGGAAGCAAACACTGGCCTTCCAGGTGAAAGCTGGTGGCTGTTTGACTAATCCACCACCCTTCCTGCCCCCTTAAACATATGTTGTTGTCCAGCCACATTTCCCCCTGACACTGCCTGGCGCTGTCATACAACAATGGCGACCGGCCATGTATCCTGCCAACATGAATGGCATGAATGAACATGATGGCTTTTTCTGTCTGTGTCTGACGCTGGAAGTCACTGACCAAGCGCTGGTTTTCAACAGCTTCGGAGTGACACTGTGTTATTCTATACTCTCGGAAAGAAAGAAAATAAAGTTATCCTATAATGTCAAACTATTCCTTTGAGCCCAAGTAAATATTAATATTATATCAATTCATTATCTTCTAATTTCTGAATCTCTCATTCCCATGTTCAAATACTGAATGACATGCTTCACTGTAGACAGACTTGAGGTTATATTTTGTATGACCTGCTGTGCACCAATCTATAGACTTTCTAGATTACAGAAAAAAATTAATTGGAAGTCTGCCAAGTGAACAATGTCCCACTTTACCCTAATGACAAAGTCCTTTTCAGGATTCCTATAATTTTTTGATAAATTTTTTTTTTCTTTTTTCTTTTTCCTATGATTTCTGAGAAAATTTTCTTTCTCAGAAATCATAGGAAACTATGAGACCTACAAAAAATAGCATACTGGTTGAACTTTAACACAGGCTGTAATGGTCAGTGTGTTGTTTTTCCTGTTGTTCAAGCTGTGGTGTGTGAAATTTTGATACAAAATATTTAAAACTGTTGTAACAAAGTAATGGATTCATGTTTGTGATGTTGGGTTCTGTATTTCTAAGACTTGACAGCATTTCACTCGACATGTTCACAGTTCTGACCTGAGAGTAGTAACCATATGTTGACATTTGCAGGCATTCCTGGTTCACAGCACAGAGGACAAGGCCATGACACTGTCAGTACGCCTGCCTGATGAACAGGGGGCACCGCTCGTACACAACCTGATGGTCAAACAACACAAGACATGTGCGTGTTGAACACTGATGCAGCTTGTGCCACAGAGAGCAATTGTAAAGATAGTAGAAACAGAAAATGCAACATTTGCACGGCAGATAGCAGAGCAGTTACTGATTCATTCTTGAATTTTCTGTCCCAGTTCTCCACTTAGAGGATTCCTCTCTGGTTTTTGATGACATCTTCAAATTGATCTCCTTCTACTGTGCCAGCAGGTAACACATATACAGTGCACATACTGTATATCTGCACATACATACACAAAATAACAGCATGTGCACACTAATAAAAAACATGACTTTCGTGGATATACATCTCAAACAAATGCATATAAGTACTCAAGCCACACATAAACATACATATATGTACAATAAACACACACACACACACACACACACACACACACAGTCACACATAGTCACAAACACAGTAATATTGTGCTATACTATGTCAGATAATTAAAACTGCTTTTTATTATAAAATCCATCAAACAGGGACATTCTGGCTATTCCATTGAGGTTACCCCGGGCTATTACCACGGCAACTAAGAAAGAAGAGCTGGAGGTCATCTCTGCTATGGGTGCAGGTAGATAAATCTACATCATTGGTGAACTGAAGTTGGGTCATTGCTGTAACAAACAGCAAGATACTGCAATGAAAGATAGAGGATGAGAGGAATCGCATCAATGCTTCTACTTAGCAGAAATGTTTAAAGAAATATATATTTATGACAGCATGCATGAAAATACACAGACAGAATGTAAAAAAGACAGCATATTTCTGGCTGTAATGTATGCATTATATCATATTTACCTATCATCTTTAGCATAAAAAGGTTCTTTGGTGCGCTGTAAAGGATTTAATATGTGTCCCCTTACACTTTTTTAAATTTTAACTTAGTAGACACAATATGAAAAAAATAATTCAACATTTTGGAAATAGGTTATTCATGTTTTAGCCAAAGCTAGGGTAATACCTTACTAAGATCTATACCTTTCCAATTTCTGTCAAATATTAAGCAATAGCCAGGAGGTGATTAGCTTAGCTTAGCATAAAGACTCACAGCAGGGGGAAACAGCTATCCTGGCTTGATTCAAAGGTAACAAAATTTACCTACCAGCACCTGTAATCACTCACCATTAAGAAGTTATATTTTGTTTATTTAATCGGTACAAAAAACAAAGTCTAATTATTTATGAGCAGGACTATTTCTTGCCTGGTTGCAGTGACTTCCCTCAGTCTCCATTGGTATCATAGTAACAACGAGACTCCAGGAAGTCAGTGCACTGGGTCAAAGCCCCCAGGAACAGAGCTGCGGGTTGCTGCAATTTTGGAATATTGGCCGCACAGGGTGTTGCAACTTCAGCGTTCATTATGTTGCACAAACTGACCTAACCGGCATTCTTCCTATATGCACTCACTGGAAAAGAAACAAATGTAAAACAATGATGATTTTATTATTGGAATTTGATCCAATTGCTTCCGTAACATTTGCGGGGAGTGAACAGGAAGTTAGCCAGCTTGGCCAGTGGAGGCATGCATGTTTTATTAGATCTGATACCGGATCCTAAGATTAGACCTATCCAGTCCAGTGAGAATTACTCACCTATGGTGCATACGCCAAATAAGTTTCTAGCTTCCGGGTTTACCTCTGTCTGTCGCCCTAGTTTTGGCAGCCGATTCAACATGTTGAATTGGTGTCGGAGATGGCAAAGCATGTCGGTGAGTGAAATCCCTCTGATTGGCAGTTTAGCTCAGTGCAAGAGAAGAGGAAAGGAAGTTAGGAAAGTAAACAAACGGCTTAAGTCAAGAGAGCATGAAATGAAAACTTTTTACATTAGGTAAGTTTTTTTTTTAGCAATTGAGCTCTTTAGCAGAAACTGTTAATAATTGTTTATGTTATTGTTTGCTGGGGCATGGTAAAAATCATTTGTTATTTCAACACTGGGTTCTGTTGTTAATGTGCTAACTGGCTAACTAGAGTCTTTAATTTGTACTGTTGGTCATCCAGTTTCCCTTTTTAAATGACGACTACAGACTACCACTTCCTGCTGGTATGGAGAGTTATTTCCTCTCACCCAGGTGTAGCTCGTACATGCTAGTTGGCTATAGTCTTTGTGGTGTGTATAAGTGAAACTCTTTGACCGAGACACGTGATGTGAGGCAAGGCCACTAGTTCTTTGATGTTGTTTGATATGTCTGGGCCTGTGGAATTTAAATTGTGATGACATCACAGATTTTGAACTCACTTTCTTGGCTCAAGGACAGTTTTACAAAAGCCACATCAACAATTTGTAATATAAACAGGCATTATTTATCTTGTTTGCAGTTCAAGGTGTCCTGTCAACAGTTTTACAGACTTCTCTTTTATCATGTTGGTCTATGGGAAAAATGCCTTTTGGGGCATGAGGGATATTTTTTCTGCAACACCATGAGTGGCCACTGGGAAAAATTGAAAGCAAGGATGAGTGGCGTTCCAGGGGGCCTGAGCGAAAGTCTGGGATGTGCTTGTGCTCAACGGGTTTGGCCGAAGGAGGACTATAGTGCACATACCGATGGCCCACAAATGCAGAAGTGTTAGAAGGCCTGTAGAGGCTTTTCCTTGCGCTCAGAGAGCAACTTTAATATGAATGTAAACCTTGTGCTAGTAACTTTTCCAATGTCAATAATAAACCATTGAGCCAAGTTTTCATATAATCATACAATGTGAGAGAGTGATAACAGAGAAACAAAAAATACACATTATCAAAATAAGGAAAGTAACTGAGTGACAAATCAGTGCAAAGCAATAACAGCGACCGCATGTGTTGTAGATTTCTGGACATCTGATCTGAACCAGCAGGCAAAGGACCAGGACCTGGTTTTGGATCAGAGCCACAGCAGACTGTTCTTGTATGTCAACCCAGTCCCAGTGGAGGAGAGCCCCAACAAAGACCTGAACCCCTCCTCTATCTCCAAACTTGATAACATCACCAATCAAAACATCACGTCCTCCCTACAGAATGGAGAAGCCCCACAGAAGATCAGCACAGAGGTTAAAGGTCAGACTAAAACTACGACCAACCAGGAGATTAAATACAAGCGCCCCCCACCCCGACCCCCCAGCCTTGGCTCAGGGATGGGCCTCCTCTTCTCCTCTCCCCCCTTGCTTCACTCTTCATCCTCTGTACCTCCAGCAGCTGAGAGAAAAGAGGAAGGAAAGGGAGGAGTAGGGGAGAGAGAAGAGAGGAAGTCAGTGTCGACATCACTTACTCCTTCAAGGCCTCCTGTTCCCCTGCAGAGCCGAGCCGCTCCCCCACTTCCTCCTGCTCCTCTCCGTCGAACCTCCTCCAGGAAAAGCACTGACCGAGAGGTAGGAGAGGGGACGGAGAGAGAGAAGGGACAAAATCCTGCAAAGAAAACTGAGAGAGAAGGGGGAGGAGAGGGAGGAGAGAGAGGAGAGGAGAAAACAGGAAGTAAATCAGGTCAGCTGGGTGAGGGTGGTGAACAAGAGAACAGCAGCCAGCATCAGGAGGAGGAGGTAAAAAAGGACAAGGAAAAGACAGAGAAAGAGGATGAGAAGGAGGAAAAAGAAATGAAAACAGATAAAGAGGAGGACAAACCAAAATCCAGCTCCCCCTGTCCACCATCAGTGAAAAAACCGTCCCGTCCAGTCCCTCCACCAAGGAGGAAACCCTGTTCCCCTGATGCACCTGTGTGCCCCAACCAGGCTGGAGGAGGATTAGCCAATCAGAGTGCTGGGATGAGAGTGCCCCCTCCCTCCCCGGCACGGCGGCCTGATGTGTCACTCTACTCGCCACAGGGGGGTGCTGTGCTGGGAACTGACCCTGACTCCTGCTCTACCAGCAGCACAGAGGAAGAAGGAGAGCTGAACCAGGAACAGGAGCAAAATCACAAGTAGGTCTGGCCCCGCCTCCCTTAGTTACTGTTGCTATGCTTGTCAAGCTGTCCACACAGCATATATTTTAAGTTTACAATAGCCAGGTTTCTGTTTCAATGTAGCACAAAGTTCAGAAAATCAGTAAAAGAAAATGGCAATTAATTTCCATTTCAAGGCGCCCAGTAGCTCAGTGGGTTGAGCAGACACCCCAAAGGCAATGTCCTTGCCGCAGGTTTGATTCTCACTTGCGGCCCTTTGCTGCATGTCATCCCCTCTCTTTCACACTTAACCTGTCCTAAATAATAATTAATGCCTGTTTACACCCACTACTGATATATTAATATCAGGAGTTGGGTTCTTAAATTTAGACACAGCAAAGCTGTTTCTCATGTCTATAGGCGGAGCAGGAGGGTAGCTTCAGGGGCTTAAGCCCAAATATTTTCTCAGAAGCCCCTGAATCTATGTTGTCCTCTAAAGAAATCTAATATAACTGAGTATATGTTCTGATGTTAACCTGATATTCAGTTCAGGTTATTGAAGACCACCTTTACTTGCATTGTTGGGGGTCCTTGATTTGCAGTTAGAGCAGCCCAGATTGTTATGGTATGGATTCAGATGTAGGAGATTTATTCTAGCAGTGTATAAGAAAAATAGGTTTCAGGATTAGTTATGCTGTTTACACTAAATTCCTACCCTGTCTTTGTTTTGTAACTTGAAAATAGTGACATCAGCTTATTTTTGCCCCTTTTTAGGTAGCAGGAGTGAAAAGTAGTCGTCTTCAACATTTGTTGTGTTCTGGTTTCAGAATGGTGAAGACAGTTGGAGAACAATTATATGCAAAATAAGATGTAGGCACTACATTTTTTTTCTTGGCAACTATCATGTTTTTTTACTCAAATGATGTACAGATTTTTTTTTAAAAAATGTATTCTATTTTTCTATCATCTCAAAAGGCTGTGAAAAAAAGCTCATATAGCTGCTGTAGATAGAGTTGAACCCCGAATGTTTACTGGATTTGGCTCCACTTATGATTTCTACAGGCTCAGCCATGGTTTTTACCAGCTAAAATAAATACTGTCACTGGTCATTTTAGTAGCTGTAGCTAGCTAGTTAACTAGTCAATCCTAGTACGATAAGGAAAAATGTAAGATCAGAGCCTCTAGTTTTATTTAACCTGTAACTACACAAACTAATGTTGTATTAAATGCTTCTCATAAAGAGTTACTACTGTGGGTACTGAAATGATTAGCCATACACAATTGCAGTTGGTGTTACACTGTAAAATCTGACAAATTTATCTGACTTTTAAAAAAACAAAGATTGCCTTGAAAAAGGAAAGTACATACAATGATTAGCCTGACGTAATGTTTACTTTATAACTACTGGGCTTGTGTTTATAAGTAAACTATCAAGGTAACTGGGTTCCTAGATTTTTAAAGTAAGATCACCTTGTCAGAGTTCACAGTGGAGCATATAAACACACTGTTTAATAAATTCCTTTCTCTTTTACTTTTGCATTTGCATTTTTGGTTTTCCAAATGCTAAAAACAGACACCAACATTTAATTCAAATGCTAATGTGAACTAGCTACTGAGGTGTCTTTGGCCTAAAAATGCATGTGTGCTTATGAGTCTTACCACTTCATAGCATTGCAGTGAAGTCATGTTTTTTATAAATGATGTGGCTGAGTAGATGCACATACAGTACATTAAGAGGAAGAAGGTTTCCAGAGCAGATACTAGAGCAGATCTCATAGATAAGATGCGAGTCCCTCAAGAGCAGATCAGTGTGTACAGTTTTTCTTTTGATGAACTGTGTAAAATGTTAATGTCAAGATCAGGTTACCTATCCATGGGCAGAAATCAGTGGGGGCGGGGGGTCTGGAACACTATCCCTGGGAAAAACAGTTGTACCCCATAGCATACCATTGTAAACATGACTCTAAAATTAAAAAGTAGTAATATCCTGCCTAACAGTATACAAGAATATGATAATGATTTTTCTTTGGGAGTTCACTTATATGTAAAGTTAAATTAAAAGATTCCACTACATGCAAGGATGGAAGGGCAGCTACACTCTCAGGCCAAAAACTACTAATACACAGTTTAGTACATGTAGATTAGACATGGAGAATACCAGGATGTTCAAGGTTGCTTGTTGTTCATTAACACAAGCACGAACTCTGTACAGAGTTCAAATCATCAAAACATGTTGAGCTATGTGCACAAATTGACACATCCCTGTACAGAGGGTCTCAGACGAGCAGAGACTAGGCCTTATAATCAATTGGTACCACTGTGTTGGTCAGAGGAATCAAAGTCACGAGTCATGCTTTGCAGAAAGTTTCTATATTTGAATATTTCTCAAAGAGTGTCATCTGTCACAAGGACATGAATCAAACACTGTGCTGGAGAGGATTATTAGTCCATATAAGATGAAGAAACACCTAAGAAAAGGACTTACTGTATATTTCTTTCCAGTCGCCCTGCAGGGAGCCGCAGCCCCAAGGCAGCAGTTAGAAGAACTCCCACCACTGTCATGTTGGACCGAGCCCGCTACCGCCTGTCCACCGTCCTCACCGGCCTCATCAGCCATGACCGCCGCCTCACACAGCGCATCGTAGAGCTGGCCAGGGACCCTCTGAGCTACTTTGGTAACCTAGTGAGTACACAGGGTTTCTGAATTTGACAATTTGATTTGACAATCACCTTATATCTTTGGATTTCTCAGGATAACAACATCAACCAAAAGTCTAAAGCACAAATGGAATCGAGTTAAGGTTTCATATTTTCTATTTAGGTAAAAGAGCACCGTGCATTCACCTTGGAGACCATGTCCAAACACCCATCCTCCACTGAGCTGTTACAGGAAATCAGACAGATGATGACTCAACTGAAGAGTTACCTGCTGCAGAGTACAGAGCTGCAAGCTATGCTGGAACATCAGTACACACAAGAAAAACTGGGTAACTCTAAAACTTGTTTTATTTATAATGTTTTTATTATTAGTATTCAATGGAATTCTTAAAATCTTATGTAGGAGTTACTGTGTGGGGAATTTGCAAAACTGCTACAGTATGTCCTTTGTATATCTTACCTATTTATATTGTACTACTCAGCCTGTGAAAACAGTTGCGTAATGTCTTCTGTCTTTGTACAATGTAAAATCTGAAAACATAACCCTAATGATGTCATACGGGGTAATCTAAGGAACTGGAACTGGAAATGTAGGATGCTGCATTTTAGGAGCTTGACCTAAATTTAGGATATCTCAACCTCTGCTGCTTCAATTTTGACCTTTTTTCTTAAAAATCTGTCACTCTTGAGTAACACTACTTTATAGTAGTGCAATACTACAATTGCTGAAGTGCCACTTTCAACAGCATTATAATACCTTAAATGAACAGTTCACCCCAAAATCAAGAATACATATTTTCCCTCTTATATGTAGAGCTATTTATCAGCCAAGATAATTTTGATGTGAGTTTCTGAGTGTTGGAGATATCAGTCGTAGAGATGTCCGCCTTCCCTCCAGTGTAATGGAACTAGATGGCACTCGACTTGTGGTGCCCAAAGTGCCCAAAAAAAAAAAAAAAAAAAGAAAAGAAAAACTCAACAGCAGTGTCTCTTTCCAAAGATCATGACCTGGTCACTCAAGATAATCCACTGACCTTGTTGTGAGCAGTTTCATGTAGGAACTATTTTCTTTCTACTGAACTACACCTGCCAACTGTATCACCACGCAGGAGGAAGCGTGCATCTACTCATGGACAAGAGGTTTGTGTTTGTAACAGTGTGAGATGTAAACACTGGTGGCATCCTCCTCATCTGAGCTGTAATGTTAGCTAGCTCTGTGGTATTAGGTGAGCTCACAGTAGATGCATGCTTCCTTCTGCGCTATGATACAGTCGGTGGGTGTAGTTCGGTAGAAAGAAAATAGTTCCTACATGAAACTGCTCACAACAAGGTCTGTGGATTATCTTGAATGACTGGGTCATGATTGCTGGGAAGAGACGTTGCTGTTGAGTTTTTAAATTTTTTTTTTTTTTTTTTTTTTTAACTGCCCCTTTAAATGAGGGTGGTTTTTGGGGACATTTTTAGAACATAATGTTTTCCACCCATGATTAGGTGAATGAGGATGCAATCATCTTAAAGCTGTTTAATATTGTCATAAGTACTAGTTAACAATTTTTGGATTTATTGTAACACCTGTACAGTCTAATAGAATCCAATAGATCAAACCCACAGTAGTTTGAAGTTTGACGGCTCACACAATATTGTCAACTTTTTGCTAAGACTTGAGTTATAGAGGTGTTGGTTGAACCATACAGTCCATTTGTTTTAAAGGCGTCAATATCAGGGTTATTGTCCATTGTTGTCCATTTAACAAGACAGAAATTTAGAAACATATTGAATTAATTGTACGTGTGTGTGTCCATGCAGAGAACATAGTTGAAGCTGCTCTGTGTAAGAGTGTACTGAAGCCACTGAGGGAGCCAATTTACCAGAGTCTGGAGAAACTGCACACCAACGACAACAGCCTGAAACAGCTGGCACAGAACCAGGTAGGACTGGCCATGAGCACTGCTGCAGTGCCACAGCTTCAAGAGACTACACACAGTGCTGTGCAGCACACTTGTATTCAGACAAGTAGAGGTCGCAGTAGCAGTTGTGATGCTGATGGTGTGTGTGTTGTTGTGCGTGTCAGTCTGTTGTCCTAGGCAGCACCACCACAGCATTAGGAATAACCACAGCCGTCCCCGAGGCCTCTGCTATGGAGAAGATCAGCATCAAACTAAACAATCTCCATCTGGAGTATTCTCCCCAGAAAAAGATTGAGCATATGCTGAAGGCCTGCAAGATCATCTATGACTCCATGTCTGTCAGCTGTCCAGGTCAGAACAGTCCTTAAACCCCTAATGTTTTTCTAATGTCGCTTTTGTTTTTTGTAAAACAAGAAGTGAACTTACCAGGAGACATGTTTGTTGCTTCTTGCTTGTGTTCAATTAATGTACTACTTCAAGATGGCACTCAAGTTTTAGGGACCCCCTTTGCCACTGTTACTGTCACTCAAATTAACACAAACTGAGCAGGAAACAAGACTTAAAAATACCACAAAGAGATGCAAAGGAACTGCAAAGAGACACAAAATAACTACAAAAAGGGATCAAAACAACCAGAAAGTGACACAAAACAACAAAAAAAAGGAGCAAAAGCACCACAAAATCTGTGTAACCTGCTCCTATGTAAAAGGAGTGGTGGGGTCTCCTTCATATCTGTGCCCAGGGGCCCTTTATCTCATAATCAACCTATGCTCCTCAGGTGAGTTTTGGGCCCCATAGCGAGCGTTAGCATTTGAGTCCTTCTCTGGCTGAAACACGGTCTTCCTGCCAACTATTAGACTAATTTAAGAAAAATGTATTCATCATACTAAAGCTGTTTCTGTCATTATGACTGTCTATGGAAAATGGGCTTTTTGGGCCAGTGGGCATCATGTAAGCCTGCCAGAAAAAAATGTTGGCATTGTGTCCGTGCAAGTTTCTACACAGACACATTACATTTGTATGTTTCATTTCTAAAAAGATGTAGATCAGATTACAAGCATATGAGCTAAGTTTCTCATCAGGAGGAGTTTCAACCATAGACTGTACATAAAGATGAATGACATGACAGCTCCCCAAAAGTGAAGCTGAAACATCTTGGTCGCCCCCTGGTGGCTGGCTGCAGTATAGGTCATAAAGCCCTCCCTCTCCAAGTGGATAGAACACAGGCCAAACTAAAATCTCAAAGCGTCACACGTCAAATACATTTTTCCTAAAGATGGTTTCTCACTGAAAGTAGTTTTTATCATGCTGCTGTACGTTCAAGGGTTTGTTTCTCTGATAAGTTTGGTTTTAATTAGTTTTTTAATGCCATAAAACAGGGATTTTCCAACATGATTGACACCTGTGTAAGACAATCTTTGGGCTTGCATTCAGTGGTGATTGGTCGCACAGGTGTATTGGCAGTAAACTTGATATTGCGGAGATCAATTTTATGCAGACTCTGGCTCTGAATGATGTCATCAGAGCAAGATGGCAGCGGCCATATCTGTGATATTTTAGCCTCACTTATGTACAGTAGGGTAAGTGGAGATGCATCGTCCATATTAATATACAGTCTATGGAGTCAACATATCTCATACATATGAAACGTACAAATTAAACTTATCGCTGGTTTGCTGAAATGTACACTGCCAACATTTATTCTGGCTATCAGGATGCATAAACTGCAATTCCAACTGTGGCCACTATGCTAAAGTCATCTCAAAGGCCAGTGCTGCTCCTCTGAGCTTTTGTGGGTCTCAACAGACTCAAGGGAGTCTTAAAAAATGAAGGAAAACTCAGTGTGCACATGGCATACTACAAAAACTGCACATCGCCGATCTGCTGTTTTTAGACTAACATGAAGAAGTGTTTAAATCTCTCCACCTCAAATCAAAAATTGTTTCCCCTCTGGAGTCAAAGTGTTTATGTGTATGTGTGTGTGTGTGTGTTTAGGGCGGGCCCATGGAGCTGATGACTTCCTGCCAGTAATGATGTACGTCCTGGCTAGATCCAATCTATCCGCCCTGCAGCTGGATGTTGAATACATGATGGAATTGATGGATCCATCATTATCACTAGGAGAAGGTACCCAGTAAATATTTGAGCAGTTTTTCCTGTTGACGTGTCTATGTGTTCGTCACATTATTGATCATGCCTGTGTATGAATGTGTGTGTAGGTTCCTATTATCTGACCACCACCTATGGCGCTTTGGAGCACATTAAGACTTTTGACCAGCAGAGGTCAGCAACACGGCAGCTCAGCAGAGAGGTTCAGGACTCCATCCACCGCTGGGAGAGAAGACGCACGCTCAACCAGGAACGCATGGCCCAAGGATCTGTTCGGGTACACACACACACACACACACACAGAAGACATAATCAACAACGGTACAGTGTATGACCTGACACGTCTCAGTGGCTCACACGCAGAAAGAGACAATGAGGAACGATGCTGCCAGTCTTAGTACGGCTCAAAGCACAATATGAGATATCATTAACTAATATTTACAAATGACCACATAAGAACAAACACATATATGCATGATGTAGTGTACTTACATTTGGGGGGAAAAATGAAAACAATGAAGCAAAGAAGTATCCAAACTGTGTGACACTCACACAGACTCACATATAGGAACAAGCTGACATGTGTCCATACATGTATCTGAGTGTAACTTTTTGTGTGTTTCTGTGGCACAGGACTTTCTGACAGTGTGTTGTCCAGAGATTGGAGCCAACCCAAAGACTCTTGGTGTCCTCCCCACTACGACAATGCAACAGCTGGCTGAGCAGTGTGCTGCAAGATTTGAACAAGGTCTGAAAGACACTGTCACATATTACATTTGTTTTATTCACCACAGTTCATTTCCTGACCCCCAATTAAGACTGTTTTAAAGTGCAGTCGTGCATTTTAATAATACACTTACATAAAATTGGGGGACTTGCAAGAAACAGATTTTTAAAAAGACTGATCAACACTGATGCAAAGAGGATGAGATATCCCGACTTTTAGTCCTTGGTATGGGTCAAGCCCTAAAACAGCAGGAACCTACATTTCCCATAATGCAACTCAATACAGTAAATCATCAGGGTTACATTATAAATGTGCTCCTGAGCCAAAGAAGACATTGTACAACTGTTTTTTACAGGTTGAATAGCACAACCCATGGCAAGTAAACTGACCTTGATGTGTAAAGTCTGTGCAATGTCCCTTTAATTATATAAGAAAACAAGCACAACTGATAGCAAGAGCAATGAATGAAAGCTTCAGTGGTGATACCGTGGGTCAGTATAGCATTATCAGTGGTATCCGCTGCATCAGCATGGAACAGCAACAGCGATTAGCTAGCCAGTGGGACACACACACAGGAAGTCACATCTTCAACGTGTGCGCTGACTGGCGTCTACCAGGGGGCTTTATTCTCTGGTCAGGATGCCATTACTCCATGTATCTTTACATAGTTAACAGTTGTTTGTTGCTATTTTTCTGCTTAGAATGTTGTATACAGAACCTTTAAGTTCTCCTGTGTCAAGAATTTGTTCTTGACTATTAAATCATCATTTTATATTATTATTCTGTTGGTAACATCATGCCTCCTTGCTTCTTTCCCACAGAATCCTACATGCTCAGTGTATATAAGGATGGTGTTAACCAGCTTCTGGCTCCTTCAGAGCTGGCCCTCAGTGTCAAGAACAACTCCCAACCTGGAGCCTACTGCTTTGTCTATCATCCTATTGACCAACCTATCATCCAGCCCAGCTGCAGGTGCCCGACTGACCCGCCTCCAGCTCCACCCGCAGAAAGTATTCTTCCTGCTGACTTTACAGCTGTTGACAGTGTGGAGGCAGAGCCAGAAGAGGACAGTCTGATTAGCTTGTAACTGCTCCAGCATCACAGTGGCAGCTGCTGTATCGCTATGGTAACTACATTACTGTGGTGGCAGCGTTACTGTGGTGACTGCATCAACAAACAGAATTTAGGACAGTGTGTTAATCTCAGGTTTTACTCAAAATGTTGATGCAACTAAAACCTAAATGAAACAAATATAACTGATGTAGATAAGAGTTCAACTCTCTTCTTTTGAATTCTTTTTTTTCACCAAAGAGCAGCGACCAACTAAAATGAAACACCAAAGAAAAATGACTGATTTTGTATCTCAACATGGGGTCTGGAACCCCAGTGACTGCAGGAGAAGATGGTTTTAAAGAATGTAAAAACACATGATATATTAACATGCACTTATATGATCATGTTTATACTGTTTATATATGTTTACTCTTTTATACTCAAGACATTCAGGTTCTGGATTATATTAACAGGATGAATCTGCAATGGCTTTATCCACCTCACCTAAAAGATCACATCATTTAGATCAATATTTCTTTGAGAAAAATAGCTGCTAAATAGCAGCTACAGTGGTGGAAAAAAGTTTTCGGACACCCTTAAAATTTTACACAATCTCAAATATTATCATGAAATATTTGTGGAAAAATCTTTTTTTGTGTTTCAAAAGGTGTGGCTGCATTAGACAGATACAAACAAATACAAATTATATTTTTTTTGTTTACTGTTTACAAGAAAAACTAATCCTGGCTGGCATGTTCCCCACGAGCCTTTCACACTGTTGAGGGGTAATCTTGTCCCATTCTTCTTGAATTACTGCTTTTAATTCTTCTAAATTCTTTGGTTTATTCTTTGAAACAGACCTTTTGATAATCCACCACAGATTTTCAATGGGGCTCATGTCCGGGGATTGAGCTGGCCACTCTAAGACCTGGATACTGTGCTCCTGCAGCCAAGTTCTACTGGCCTTGGATGTGTGGCAAGGGGCATTATCTTGTTGAAACATCCAGTTTTTACCTCGACGGAACAGTGTACGCGCAGAAGGGAGCATGTGGGTTTCGAGAATGGTACAATACTTGGTAGAGTTCAATGTGCCATCACAGACAGTGAGATGACCAACACCAGCAGCACTCATGCATCCCCAAACCATGATACTGCCTCCACTATGCTTGACAGTAGGTACTGTACATGCTGGAGATAATGCTTCGCCTGGCCTTCTGCGTACCCTCACATTAGTAGGAGGAAGATAAAGCTGGAAACTGGACTCATCTGACCACAAAATCTTCTTCCAATTCCTGGCTGTCCAGTTCTTGTGTGCCTGGGCCCAACGACGCCGGGCTAACCTCTGTCTCTCATTGATCAGGGGCTTCTTGATAGCCTTGTAGGACCTTAAGCCATGATCTAAAAGTCGGCCACGTACAGTGCGGGTGGAACACTGGACACCAGTTTGGTTTGACCACTGCTGCTGAAGCTCCTGTGATGTCATTCGGCGGTTTTGCCTGCACATGCGGATCAGGATGCGGTCATTTCTTGCTGAAGAAACCCTTGGACGCCCAGATCTTGGTTTGTCTTCCAAGCTGTTGGTTCATCTGTATTTCTGCAGAGTGTATCCAACTGCTGAAGGACTGCATCTGCACTTCCTGGCTATCTGGCGGCAGCTGTACCCTTCCTGGCTGAGAATCTTTATCTTCAGGCGTGTTTCCTGCGTTAGGTTCCTTGTTTTAGCCATTTTTGTGTCTGAAGAACTTTCAAATGTGCTGGCTTTATGTAGACACGAAGCTTGGCAACAAAAATTGTGTCTTTTAATAAAAAGAACTACCTTCATCACTGGTACCAAAATGACCCAATACTCAAAATTTCTTATGTATTTTTATGGAACCAATCAATTTTAAGTTTTTAATGGCTTTTTTAGGATTTATTTCGTATTTTGGCTGTGACTGTACTAAAAGAAATTGCACTTCAAGACCTAAGAGTGATTCTTAATGCAATATTTTACAAATGCATGGGGTGTCCGAAAACTTTTTTCCACCACTGTATATGGACAAAGCCTTTAATTTTTATTCCAGAATATCCAGTAAACATCAAAAAGTTTCATTCCACATTTGTCTATATACTGATATACTGATTGTATTGTAAATAAACTGGCTTTTACAATTTGCAAATGCTGTTTCTTGTTTAAGTTGCCATTTCTAAAGTAAGGATTTGCAGTGCTTAACCATGTTTCTGCAGTACATACATACTGTATCTCAATAAAGGGTTCCAAAGTCAAATAATGAATAAAACTTCACAATCTCTGAATGACCCACTCACATTTGCCTCTGTGCAGCCTGGAGAAATATGTTTGGGCCTTAAAGGCATCAGTATGCTTCAATCGAACCGATCGACAAACTGCTTATGAAACAACGCAACATTCCACTGGAAATGAGGATACTGCATTTGACAATTTTTGGATCTTTCCCCAAATGCCACTCCAAAAATTACTCTAAAATGCAAGGGTGCAGAGGTGAGAAAGCATGTAAGATTTGTGCTTCTTTCTCAAACTGTCTTTCATTCTTGACAAAACTAGAATTACTCCCTCACGGTTGTATGCCTCCCTTAGTCAAGTTGCAGTTAACATCAGTTTACATTTACAAGGTCACAGTGACCTTGACCTTTGACCTTTAAACATCAAATTTCAATCAGTCCATCTTTGACTCAAAGTGGATGTTTGTGCCAAATGTGAAGAAATTTCCTCAAGGTGATCTTTAGATATTGGATTCACGAGAATAAGACATGCAAGGTCAGTGACCTTGACCTTTGACTTTTGACTGCCAAAATCTAGTCAGTGCCTCCTTGAATCCAAGTAGACATTTCTCTCAAATTTGGGTAAAAAAAACCTCAACATGTTCTTGAGATATTGCCTTCATGAGAATGAGACAGATGAGGTCAGTGACCTTGACTTATGACCTTTGACCACCAAAGACAAATCAGTTCATTCTGGGTTCAGCTGGATGTTTGTGCCAAATTTGAAGAAATTCCCTTTGGGCATTCTTGAGACATCGTGTTCACAAGGATGGGACTGACGGTCAACCTGAAAACATAATGCCTCTTGCCACAGCTATCGCCGGCACAGAGGCATAAAAATCTTTAAAGTACAACACAGTGCAACACCACTGAATACCTGCAAGGATCGACTTCACAAAAGAGTGCACCCTCAAGCTCATTTGTATAACTCTATGTCAAGATGAGAAAGGCAAAATTCCTGGAGTGAGATGAGGAAGGTGGTGAAATGCAGCGAGAAAGGGACTATGGAGGTAAGCTTTTCACCCTTTGCCTTAAGTGTTGCCTTTCAGAGCAGGTATACACAGTTTTGCCTACAAACAGAGACAACATGTCATACAAACTAGTGTGATTTAAGCATCCTAAACCCCTGACCACATTTTACTCAAAGTCAGAGGTGTCAACAAGCTTTGACATCAAAACTGTTGAAAAACCACAAGATAGCATGATTCACTCAGATATCTCCAGAATCTGATCATTTGTGTAACATCATTTCCAACTGATGAATACAGAAACAATTCGGTGACGATGGCACCGATGGGTGTTGACAGTGTTTCTGATGAGAATATAGGTAGTGTGAGGTGACACTACTTTGTGTCTGAAGCTTGTTATCCTCTGTTAAACCAGTGCAGCAGAGCCATTGTTAAGGCCAGCTGCTTCCTGTCTGCAGGTCATTATTTTCAGCAAGGCCTATAATGAGGTACTTAAATAGTAACTTCCTGTATCCTGACAAACTCTGCAGAATTTCCACCATTTCATCTTTTGTCTTGTTTCCATTTCAGTAGGAAGCCACACACAGAAAATGACCCAGGAGCAAAACATCAAATACATATTTGTGAATGGACATATCGATTTTTATCACTTCCTGTACAGCTGATGTTTGAAGATTGAGGGTTTCTCAGTACTAACATACTAACAAGGTGTCTTTGTACAGTAGTGATGTCTGACTCTTCCACTATAAACACAACAAGCTCTCTCAAAGGCCAGAGAACATTTTTTAAACTGATATGTCCGGCAGATATTTTAACTATGCAGCAATGTCCTACTTCAGAGTATCTAATTTAAGCATGGCTTTAGTCTACATGTGTTTTCTTGGAGAGAATGGTCCTCTTGTAAAAGTAAGCTGAGATGATGTACATAGACATGGTGGAATTGTTCACAGATTTCATTTTCATTGCTGTGTCCTTTAGATATAGATGCAGTGAGTACATCTGTATGATGACCTTCAAGTCCATTTACATGTGCATTAGTTAAACTAAGGGGTCCAGTTTGGGGACCTCAGAACTGCATCTCTACTTTTTGCAGATGATATGGTTCTGCTGGCTTCATCACACTCTGACCTCCAGCAGGCACTGGGGCAGTTTGCGGCCAAGTGTGTGGGGGTTAGGATGAGAGTCAGCACTTCCAAAGCTGAGCCATGGTTCTCTGCTGGAAAACGGTGAATTGCCTCCTCTGGGTTGGTTCCTGCCTTAAGAAAAGGAGTTCAAGTATCTTGGGGTCTTGTTCATGAGTGAGGCTTAAATGGAGTGTGAGATGGATAGGCTGGTTGTTGCAGCATCCGCAGTGATGTGGGCACTGCACTGGACCGTCCTGGTGAAGAGGGAGCTGAGCCAAAGGGTGAAGCTTTCGAGTTACTGGTCCATCTAAGTCCCAACCCTCAACTATGGTCATGAGCTTTGGTAGTAACCGAAAGAATGAGATTGCGGATACAAGCGGCCGAAATGAGTTTCCTCTGTGGGGTTGCTGGGCTGAGCCTTGGAGATAGGGTGAGGAGCACAGACATTTGGAGGGAGCTCAGAAAAGAGCCCCTGCTCCCTCGCATCGAAAGGGGTCAGTTGATGTGGTTCAGGCATCTGATTAGGAGGATGCCTCCCAGCACCTCCTGTTAGAGGTGTTCCGGGCATGTCTCACTGGTGGGAGGTTGGAGGGATTATATATCTCATCTGGCCTGAGAATGCCTTAGGATCCCCCAGGAGGAGCTGGAAAACTTTGCTGGGGAGAGGGACGTCTGGGCTGCTTTGCTTGGCCTGCTGCCCCAGTGACCCGGCCCCAGATAAGTGGATAAAAATGGAATGGAATTAGTTATACTTTGTCATAAATATTAAGTCATAGGCTCCTAACCTAGGTATGGTGCTGTACTTAATGACTACTGTTCCCCCGGCTGAAAAAAACAACTCAGCCAATCAGACCTTTGTGGGCACAATTAAGAATGGAGAAGTCCTGGAAAGTTGCAATCAAAATGGCAACAAGCATATTGACTGATAATGATGGTAATGGGATGGATAATTCATTTACTAACAAAAAAACCCAAAGGGGTCCGGTTTGAAAACAAACAAACAAAAAAACAATCTTTCCCAAACAAAAAACAACCAAGACGTCCAACCAGTGGTTTCGGTTTGGATCAGTATGCTGGTCTGTTGCATTGTCACATTACAGTGTGATTACGAATCTATGCCACAAATTCTGCATGAATATGGTACTTAGCAGAACTATCATGTTATGTCAAACTCAGAGATTAGTTGGTTCTAGAGATGTAGAATGTCACCTCTGTGGTGGGGCAAGTGCACGAGGGGGAGCAGTACCAACTACATATAGGGCTCTATACGCATGGCACTGGGTCTGGAATCAAAATACTGGATAGCGGCTAGATTGGAATTTTCTGGAGTTGCCCAAAGTGAGAGGTGTTGGACAGGTGTAGGTATACTCATGAGCTCTAGGCTGAGCACTTCTGTGTTGGAGTGTTCCAGGGAGAACAAGGGAGATAATCCACAAGGGTTGTTGGGGGTATCGTAAGAGCTGAAGTGGAAGGCAAAGTTTTCGATTTACCAGTTGATCTACGTTCCAACCCCCAATGGTCATGAGCTTTGGGCAGTGACTTCAAGAATAGGATCACAAATACAAGCGGCCATGAGAAACAGGCTGCAGACATTAAAAAAGTAATCCACCAGGACTTTATGGTGGCACATGCCAGATGATGTTTTGCTGCAGGACAAGTTTAGCATGGTTCAACCCTGCATTTTTTTTGTCAAAGCCGTAAATAAAAATATCACATGCATGAGCGTTGGAACAACAAAAATCACTTTTGCGAGACAGGCTTTTGATTTAGAAAAAAAAGGAATGACATTGCAGTGTAAGCCTTCATCTCCTGAATAATTTGCTGTGGATGTCAGATGATAATTCATGATATGCTAAGGATTAAGAAGCAGAGTAGGGCAGGTCATGCCTTCGCCATAGTCTGAGGGATGGATGACATCATTTGGCACAATAATTAACCATGTGCTTCTGTTTGTTTCATTGTTTCCAATGATCTTTTGGACAATGGGTGTTTGTTTTCAGGATAATGGACTTTGGGTCCAATTAAACATTTTTCAGACTATTAGGGCTTCTAAATTATGGACTGGGTAGTCTCCAGCAGGGTATGGCAGCCCTTTGTAGTTTCACCAGACCAGTCTGACACTAAATGTGCGTTATCTGCTCCTGAGCAATAAGGTATGATTATGGATCTATGGACCTATCTAACAAATGAACTCCAGTATGACTGTTCTCATAGCAGTAGCATGGCCAGTGATCAGATATGTATTGGATATCTTTATTTCCTTGTTTTTTTTTCTCTGGACATAGTGAGACAGTAAGGTTTATTCCTTCGAGAGAAACATCCATTGTTCCGTTAACCTGCCTCAGGGTATGAATGAACACATATACACACACAAGCACTATAATGATTTCCAGTAATAAGATGGTGGGCTCTCCACAACAGCACCATGACTGAGACTCTTTGAAACAGGACACTAACAAGCTAACAGGACTTCCACTAGGCCTGTCCTCTTGTAAGCTAAACTCAAAGTTGGTTTGATCTGGTGAAGGGTGTGTATGCTTGCGTATATGTGTGGGTGGGTTAGGGGGATGGGGGGTTAAAACACTCCAGTCCAGGGTATATAAGTAGCTATGTACGTCAAGAAACCAATACTTTTCAACCACTGTAGACCTGCACACAGCCACTACAGAAGCAACTGGCAGTCCATACACAAAAAAAGCACAAGCGGAAATCCAGGTTTTTCTTATTTCTCCTTCAAGAAGACGGGAGAAGAAATAAGTGGTAGATAGGAAGCAGCAACCAACAAAGTATCTGACTGCACATACAGTAGCCATTTCTGTTGCTGTGATTAGTGGTTCACCTGGAGCATCTCTGCTTGTGTGACACCTCACCTTTAACCTCTGAGGTCCAGCCTTGAGAGGGTCCTTGCTGGTACCAACTTTTAACAGACAGACAGACGAACACGTCCTTCCTGAGAAGCAGGTAAGAAATCAGCCAACCACTGGCTTACTAACAACAGCTTTAACAAACCCTGTAACCAACAGCTTTGCATGAAGCCAATTTTACTTTCAGCTGTGCTAGTTGTTAGTCTATTAATTTTTTTTTTACCCCAAGCAGCTTTAGAATTTATTCGCAGAAATTCTATTTGTATTTGAAGAAACAAATTCTGTCTCGATTGTCACCATGTTGACAGAATTTGGTTCCAGCTGAGCGTATAACAAACCTTAAAAACAAAAGAGGATTTTCAAAGGCTGTTGGGTCTTATTGTTTATTTCGCACTGAAGCAAATTTGATTTGCTGTTTGTGTGGTGTAAAATTTCACACTGAAATATTTTTAAAAAATCAGTTAAAAAAAAAAAAATCACAAATGTTAAAAAACACTTGTCGACTGTGTCAAACACACATACACACAGTCTGAATCATTTCTGGCTCATTTTAGGCTCCAAAATTCTCATAAAACCAGCAAGTTCTGAGTGGTCAGGTGAATTTCAGTACATTTTTCCTCTCTGTTTTTGAGACCTTTGAAAGAGCTCCAAGTGCATTACATAGAAATGGTAAAATATTGTAAGCCAATTTTATTTTATTTCAAATATACTGTGTACTGAGTCTTACAAAATTAAAGACACCAACCCCAAGGTTGAGAAAGTGTCATTTTTGGTATTATACAGAACCGTGTGGAAAGTGTTGTAATGTAATATCTTAATATAAAAGATAGCAATAAGGTAGCTGTGAAGTGTGAGATATTTTGACTTTTTTAGTTGTACAAACATACTGATATTTATTAACAATAATGAAAATACTTTCTGTTTTCATTATTTTGTTTTATTTTGTAAATAAATTGTTTGAAGATCATAAATACACAACGCAGTTAACATGTAATTATTATTGTCATGAAAGCCTTTTTTTTCCTTTTAATTGTTTCATTTTTTTAGGATGTCTGAACTGTCTGCTTTCCCCCGAATGTCCTTCCTGTTGCTTTGCATTCTGGGTATGACCTTGGTGACATCTGGCTTCCCTCAGCCTGGACTACCTCTCAGGTGGTTACTCACTAAATCTTATATCTCAAATGGCTGTTATGTTTGAACTGAATGAGCTATCCAGTACCTCCGATACCTCACTTTCTTTTCTCTGTTAATAAGTTGTTCCGTTTTAATAACCTACATAATTCAATCAAATGTGTTTCTCCAGGAATTATTAAGTTTAATATGATGATTCTGATTCCAGAAATCCTGATGATTCAGAGGAACCTAAACTAGATGACTGGGATGTCCTCTTACCCTCCATCTCTCTCCGTAACTGGAGCATTCCAGTGATGTCAGCGCCCAGCCTCAGAGCTCCAGCCGACAGCAAGGCAAGACTGATGAGGGAGGCGTGGCTCTTTGCCCCTGAGAAAGCAGAGGCCAGGTAACTGCATAGTGAGAGAAAATATTTAAGACGGTTAACATCCTAGGGTGAAAACTGTAGTTGCCAAAAAGTGGGGAAGTTTTTGCGGACCAACCAACCAACCGACAGTGAGACATAGAGCTGTTGGTCGCAGATACAAAGCAGCCACAGCACATTCTTACAGTCAGTGACACAGAGGTGTTCTAACATGTCCCTCATTGACCTATGCAATAACAAACTCTTTATGTATGGGGTTGGCAGCAAGTTAAGCTGTTTATTCCTGTCATTTCCTTGTCTGTGCAAACATCTCTTACAAGGCCTAATTTCATATCCTCTGGGAGAACCTTTGATTTTATTTACTTAGGTAATATTTCATTTAATGGGCTGAAAAACACCTAACTTCGCTTTGTCCAAAGGTAACAAAACCAACTACTGAGTTCAAAAACTGACACATTAGATCTTAATCAGGGTATGGCTGGGTATTGCTACTCCATACCTTTAAGGTATTAACCGAAATAACCCAGTACCAAGTAGTAATGAAACATCTCCTGTCAACCAATACCTGCATTTAATCCTGTCTGCTCCATGAGTCTCATCTCGGACCTTCTTGTCTCTCCACTGGATCAGCAAACTTTCTCTTGCTGCTGTCAGTTCAACACCTGGTTGGTACAAGTTAACACAGCAGCAGCAAGTAACATCCAACACAGAGCCATTACACAGTCCCAACAAACACACCTATGCCGAAACGGCTCAACATTGTTGTCAAACCTGTAAATAACCATTAGGGAACGTTGGCCGTGTGATGCTAACAGTTAGCCCTGTCAGAGCGTGTGTGCGGCCGGGTGACTTCTCTCTACTGTCCTTGGCATGCAGCTCACAGTCCCGCAGCAGTGGCTACAACTCATACAGTGGTGAAGCTGAGTGCAGTGAATTTATGAAGCTGGCAGTTCATTGTGCCAAGATGGCACAAAATATTCCGAAGTATGGCTATAACTGTGGGTAGCAAAGGAAGTACTCTATTGGTAACAGTATCAATTTAAGTGTTGAATATGTTTCATTTCTCAGAGGAAATTTAGGGCTTTGTGGTGTTGTTGGGAGCTATATCAAAATCAAGCAGTGCATCTTAAAGTAAAGACCACATTTTATGACTTTCAAGTGTCACGAGTTCTGTCAACTTAAGTTTAAATGAACAACACAGCAGTTAAATAATATTGTTTAAGTGTCTGATACCTGATTGTTATCTAATTGAAGTCTTTGTCTGTGTTTCTTAAGCGTGGAGAGGGCGTGGCCTGCAGAATGGTCTTCTCAGGGTGCCGGCATGATGAAGAGGAACATGGTGGTGGCTGATGATGCTGCCTTCAGAGAGAAGAGTAAACTCCTCACCTCCATGGAGAGACAGAAGTGGCTCAACTCCTACATGCAGAAACTACTGGTGGTTAATTCTTCATGATAATTAAGTCTTTACAACAGAAAATCAAACCACCTCTGGACCCTTCACTGGCAAAAAGCTTTTTAAAAAGGATACACCAAGTCTCTGGGTTATTGTCAGTCCGTCAACTTCTGAGACAAGAAAATATTGTAGACGTCAAAAGTCATTAACACCTGCTGTATTATAAGTGCTCAAGTCTAGCATCTTAAAATTCTATTCCCAGTTTTTGTAGCATTTTCACTGTATTATGATGCTGAAATTGAATGTTTTTCAATTTGATTAAAAAAAATAAAAATAAAGATGTTTTTGATGACTGAACCTTGTGCTTGACTTCAAACCAGTGGTGGGACCAAGTCACTGTTTTGCAAGTTACAAGGCCCAAGCCCTTAACTTTGAGTTAAGTCCCAAGTCCCAATGAGCTCTTCACCAACTGTAAAGCCATTTTAACAACAGAGTAATAAAACATTACATTTACCAAATCATGAGTGCTTTTTAAAAATTGTATTTGTTAAAATATGTTTGCTGAAAACAGTGAGACATAACTTGATCATAAAAAAAGTAGTGCTGCCATTGCACCAGTACCACAACAGAATGAACTGTGTATGTTTCTGTTCTCTCTTGTTGTATTTTACTCATCTCATATTGGAATATTTCTATAATTTCTCATTCCAAATGTGTAAGATATTTTATGTAAGCCTTAAAATGATACTGTATGTTGTTGCGTGTTTCATAACTGAATAAAATAAATAGATGTAAATGTTAATTTATTGAGGACATAAAGGAAAATCAGTTGATTTGTGACAAACTCTTTATGTAATATACCTTTTCATTTTTGGGCTTGGGTGGAAGGTATGAAGTATTTTCAGGGTAAAGGGCTCAAGTCCAAGTGAAGTCAGAGTCATTGCTGTCAAAGTCAAGTTGCCAGTTTGTTTTTTTGTTTTTGTTTTTTTGTTTTCTTTTGTAAAGTCAAGTCTAAAGTCATCACATTTGTGACCTGAATCTGACTTGTTTCAGTCAAAAGCAAGATGTAATTGTTGTTTAGAGACACATTTAGCACATTTAGACATTTGTAGCTTTCAAATTACAGTACAAAACAATAAATTGATAGTTCCAGATAATGGGAGATGTGCTTGTGTGCTTTCTTTTCAAGAGTGAGATAAGAAGATTGAGACCAAGCTCAGTACTGATCTCGACTCAGGATGCAGTTAGCCTAGCTTAGCATGAAGACTTGAAACAGGAGGAATATCTCCTTTTAAAGCTTAAAAAAATCCACCATCCAACATTCTTAAAGCGCGATTATTAGCAATACTGTAGTAGACTTTGGCAGCTGAATACAAAACATATTTTTTGGAGGAAAACAAACAAACAAACAAAAAAAGCAAACAACTTTTGACATAGCCAGGCTAGCAGCCTCTTCCTGCTTCCAGTCTTTACGCAAAGCTAGGCTAACTACCTACTGACCAAAATGTCTTATACAGTCCAGTTCTTCAACTCTCATCCACATTCTGAGAGGACAGGTAATCTCATTCATCTACAGTGGCTCTGACTGCTGATCTTGTTGGGTAGAAATTTCATTGTATTCTGTCAGAACATTGCAAGTCATTTTGTGAATAAGACAAATGTCTAAAATGTATATTTTACCTGTAAACATTAAGTACAGCTTGCATATATAAGTAATTTTGTATTTTCTTCATGTTAATGTTTAGTTATTTCCGAAAAATCTAGTGTTTCTGCCATTTGTTAAGCACTTTGTAACTGTTAAAAAATTTCATATAAAAGGTTCATATCGGGGATTAGGGGTACATCATTATCTGTATCTGTATGCAGAATGGGCGTGGTTTAATCAAGAAGTGGTTGATCTTAAACTGGAAATTTGTGGAACTTAACCAGAAGCCTTCAGCTATCAGGCTCCTCTTCTGTGGAGCCATCTTCAATGTGGAGGCACTGTCTCCACATTTAAAAGCAGACTTCAGACGTTCCTCATTAATAAAACATATAATTCGGGCTGGCTAAGGCTTGCCTTGGAGAAGATAGGCTTGCTTATCAGAAGATACTATATTTTTATTCATTAAAAAACTATTTACAGAAATCTCAGGATTGAGCTTCATCTCATTGTTGATCACAAGAGTAAGAGATTGAACACAGCTACCCAATGTAGGATTTTCCATAATCACAAGTAGGGATATGATGATGATATTTGTACATTATCTGTACTGGATACTCATCTTCTGTGAGTATACAGCTCAGCCCTAGTTAATATCATTTTCAGCTACAACAAACTTAAGGTGATGAAAGTTTATTCCCTTGTCAAATGGGAAAAGATCTGGGGCCGTATTCACAGACATTCTGAGAATGCTCTCTCCTAACTTAGCCTAAAAACTTTTAGTAAGGAGTCTTAGCTTACAAGTGATATAGGAAAGTTCTTAGAGCAATTCTGAGCAGGGAAGGGACTGAAACTTTTACCTTGCTTTTACGTGAGTAGGTGTGGTTGTCCCAGTTGCTAGATATGATGCATTCAAACAGATGTGATTTGTTGTCACAGACATGCCCTTACGTGAGCCTGCAAGGTGTGGACACCCAGTGGAAATGAAATGAACTGCGTGACAACATGAGTGTTTTCATTGTTAGTGTGATCACTCTGCTGCTGAAAGGTTGAAACAGTCATCACTGCTACACTTAGGGTTGGGTACCATTCATAACTGAACCGATACGGTACCGGTATCTGGAATTCGGTACCGGTACCAAACGGTACCTTATTTCAGTACTTTTTAAAGTCTAAACTTCTCAGTTTCAACATTTTATTGAGAACATTTAGGAACAGTGCTGCACGTTAACTTTTGTCTACATATTTTTTTGTCGCCATTGTTGCTGAGTCTGAGGTGTGAGTCATGCGCTCTCGCTCTGCGATTATTATTTTATTTCTGGAATTATAGCGTTAAGTGGGAAATGTGTGTGTGTATCCCTAATGAGATCGACCGCCAATATTATCCCTGCACGATCTTCTGTAGCATTTCATTTACTCACTGACATCCAGCATTTGGAGAATATTCCTCTGACCTGTTTCTACCATTTTCTCCTTTGCTTAAGAAATTTTTAGGTATCTTAAAAGTCATCCTAACAGTTTTTCACCTTAGGAGCTCTTTTAAGGTCTAAGATGCAACTCTTTATACTAGGAAGCTTTGTGAATACGGCCCCTGGTTTCTAATCCGAAAGTCAAGTGAATCTTTGGCAAACTATAAAATGAAAATCCATATTCTGTTTATTCTGAATTTATATGTCAGAAGTTTGAGGATCAAAAAAAGTCTATGGCGGTATCAACACCAGTTCGTCCAGCCTGCCAATCAACTCCTGCAGCTGCATCCTATTGGCCAGTCTCTGCCGGTCCCTCCTCTCCAGCAGCAGAGACTCTGTTTGAAGAAGCAGCTGCACAGCCCGGGGTGCTGGGAGCTCGTCTGGAGTCTCGGCCCCACCGCAGGGCCCTTCTGCTGGGTGGCTGCTGTGTCTGACTGGCCTCTCAGTCTGGAGCCTGGCTCGGTAGACATCAGGGCAGGAGGGTAGGCAGGGGAGAGAGGAGGGAAGAGGAGGGAGGCAGGAGGTGTCCCATCCACCCTGCAACCTGTCTTCTCCTTCTCCTCTGTCCTCAGCATCCTCTCTGCCTCTCCTTTGTCCTTTCTGGGGCATATGATGAAAAGATGACAGAATAAGAGATACAGTAGAGTAACCTAACGTTACTATGCTAGAGATGGTAGCCAACTGCACACCAAAACCCATCTTGGTTCGTCTGTCCACTGTTCAAACAATCACCAACTCTAGACGTGCAGGAGGCGTGCTCAAACGCCAAAGTGACGCTGTCACGGCGCTCACACGTTCCCTAGCATCTACTATTTTTCAGGGCAGAACAGCTGTAACCTGAGATAAATAGACTTGTGGAATCCAGCAGCGCACACCACTTGTCATGTGACATGGACCAACCAATCACAGCCGACAGATATCTGTCCCTTCTTCCGTAAATATCAGTCTGTGTCTATCTATCTAACAACACTCAGGATTTCAGGTAAATGGGCTAGGATACAGTGCTTAGCAACCTCAGACTCTACCTGCCAACATGCTCTTGAAAGCAGTCACAGAATAAAGAACAAGAATAGCACCCAGCACCCAACCTCGCATTTTCCAGGCGGTTAGAGATGCAGCATGTGTCCGGCCCCTTATTCACTCCGTTAGATGTAAAAATATGCTGGATCTCTACGCACTCGAATTATTGTTACAGTTAACTGCAGTCAGGCTGGTTTAGAGATAGTGACTTTGGGGCTCTTTCTTATGGAGCTTTATCCCTATCTTTATTCAAGAGAGTGATCTATCAGTTTGAGAGCATTATTTATTGATTTCACACTCAAAAACCCTGCCCTCGCACTCAAATAGCCTCTGCTTGCGCTTGGATCAAACTGTTGTTCAAACTGTGTGCTCACACTCAGATACCAGGTTGCTCGCACTCAGATACAATGTTGCTCACACTCAGATACCATGTTGCTCGCACAGATTTCCTGCTCGAGCTTCGGCTTTTCTCCTCGCGCTCAAACTGTTTCTGTGCACTCGTGGAATTTCTGCTTTCAGATTTCTGCCCTGCGCTTGGATTTATTTGTGTAACAACCCTGCCAAAATTTCCCAACCAATAGAATGCCAGATTTACTGTTGACCAATGAAATGAATCCTGCCTCCTATCCTGCTGTGTGCAGCCGGCATGCAGCAGTGACCAACACAGACGCTGAAGAAGAGCATGAGCACGACCATGAACAGGCTGAGTTGGTGGCGGAAAAAATGCAACGTCTACATGGCGATACTTTGGATTCAGGTACGGCGGCGTTGAACAGAAAGACATGCTGTGTAGAAGTTTAAAAGTTTAAGTCGCCACGTCCTGCAGCAACACGACCAATCTATATCAGCACTCGAGACAGCACAGAGAAAAGTAGGAAGAATGCATGTGAGACAAAGCCGAGCCGAATAACGTTAAAGACAAAGAGACAACTGAAAGCCGCCAGAGCCTCATAAAACAACAAAGCACAATTATGCAAACATTTGTAAGTGTCACGGGGAAATCACGGACTCCATAACAAACTATATAATAACGAATGAAAAATTGAGCAATTTTGCTCGGTTTCAGCCCACTTGACATGCTGCTGTGTTGTGCTATGGCGTGCTGGAATTTGTCATTTACGTGACAACACCTTAACGCAACACAGGCTCGCTCCACTGTGTGTACTGTGCCATGCTGCGCTGCTGTGCGAGCAGCGTGTTTGACTGTGCTCTGTCTGTTGATGGTTATTTACACTGTCCATATGTAACTATGTAACTATGACAGGTCAGGTCAGTGCCCCCCTAATATAATGTAGGGGAAACACTGAATCAAGCAAGAAGACTAATGATACCATTTATGTATTATATTGTAATTGCACTCACAAATCGCGATATTGTCCATTCAAATCGCAATCGCACATTTTTATCAAATCGTGCAGCACTACTTTAGTATTAGAGCATCCCGTCTGGGCGGGTACTCTTTAACCGGGTTCATCCACTCCCACCCTCCAGGGCTTTATTAAATGTTCTTCCCTTGCTTTCTTTACCACTTTTGGAATAAAGGGACTGTTAATTTACACACGTGCGCCGTATGTATGTATGTATGTATTTATGTATGTATATATATATATATATATATACACACACACACACAGTATATACAGTACAGGCCAAAAGTTTGGACACACCTTCTCATTCAATGCGTTTTCTTTATTTTCATGACTATTTACATTGTAGATTCTCACTGAAGGCATCAAAACTATGAATGAACACGTGGAGTTATGTACTTAACAAAAAAAAGGTGAAATAACTGAAAACATGTTTTATATTCTAGTTTCTTCAAAATAGCCATCCTTTGCTCTGATTACTGCTTTGCACACTCTTGGCATTCTCTCGATGAGCTTCAAGAGGTAGTCACCTGAAATGGTTTCCACTTCACAGGTGTGCCTTATCAGGGTTAATTAGTGGAATTTCTTGCTTTATCAATGGGGTTGGGACCATCAGTTGTGTTGTGCACAAGTCAGGTTAATACACAGCCGACAGCCCTATTGGACAACTGTTAAAATTCATATTATGGCAAGAACCAATCAGCTAACTAAAGAAAAACGAGTGGCCATCATTACTTTAAGAAATGAAGGTCAGTCAGTCCGGAAAATTGCAAAAACTTTAAATGTGTCCCCAAGTGGAGTCGCAAAAACCATCAAGCGCTAC